TTTTTCTTTTTCTTTGGGGGTTTTTCCCCCCCCCCCCCCCCCCCCCCCCCGAGTTAAGATTGTAATGATTTTACGATATAAATATACTGTTAAGAAGTGAAGAAAAACTTGAAATTACGCGTTGACTGACTTCAAGCGATGACGGGGATTATATAAGAACCGCTTTTCACGCGAAAAACATTACTCTCTATAATATACTTTCTTCTAATATTCTCTTGTGATAGATGTGTACATTCGGAGGAAATCGGTGCATATAGTTTTAGTTACGAAGATCAGTATGTTTGCAATGCTTTCATACACTGAGAAATAATTGAAAGATAATACCGGCGGATAAAATTAGCAACGCGTGCATGTCAATTTCAGTCGGCACATCCGTAAGACTTTTGCTCTATGTTATAAAGCTAGCATAAATGCTGGCATATTTATAACTTAGTCTCTATCGAAAAAAAACAGCCATATTTGAAACATAATGAACAATTTTGTATGTTTTTAACGCGAAAAATTTAAGTAAATACATTAACAAATTATAGCTTATAATTAGTCGAATTAGCGAAAATTCACTATATTCATGACACGCTTGTCAGGTGAAAAACACACTGCCCAAAGATTTTATTCTTTATTCTAGTAGATGTGTCATAATACTCAGTAGCTGCAATAGATTGGATACCTGATACCGTTGCACTTTTGAGAAAAAATAATTTACCGCCAGCATACTATCACGAATATTGAATCTGCTGTCTGAAAGATGTTTTTAAAAATACACAATATTTTGTTTGCTTCAAGTGATCAGGATAATTTTTAGTTTAGGTTTATGCCTAGGCAGGAAATAATAAAATATGTAAGTTTCAAGAAGTTAGAATAAAAGCGCGAGATGAACTGTGAGATATAAAAAAGCTCAAATATCACTTGCGTAATTAACGTTTTAACTTGTTTTCGAACGCGTCCGAAAATAATTGCGAAAAAAAATTTAAAACTGACTACAATTTCAAAGTCAACGTTTTTTGTTCATTTTATGAATGACTTCTTTCACACAGAAAGTTTGAAGGAAATCTGTAATCTTAAGAAATTCGAATGGTCGGTTTTTACACGGACTGCCTCTTAAGTTGCCTTTTACGTCTCAGTTGGTATGAACAGTTATTTTCAGATGGTAGTAGAGATCTGAGTTTGTGGGATTGATCTCGGGTGATCTCATTAAACAACTTGCACGTCAAGAGCTGCCTGCGTTCGAAGAGGCGAGGCAGACCGCTTTCTTCGAGGGAATCAGTGTAAGGCATCCAAAGGTAGATTATTCTTAGAGCTCTCTTCTGCAGCCTTTCAATGTCGTCTGATAGGTACTTGGGTAGCGAGTTGTGATAAACTGGGCATGCATATTCAAAGTCGGGCGAATACAGGTAGTATAAAATTTCAAAAGTTCCTTAGTTGGAATGGCTGCTCTTTTTAGTTGTCTCAAGAAATAGAAACGAGGTGCAGCCTTCTTGGTTGTTTCTGATACATGGAAGTTCCATTTTAAGTCGCTCGATATATTCAGGCCCAGCAGCTTTGCGTGCTGAACAATCTCCAATGGCTTTTCATTGACCATCACCGAATCGAATTGGGGATTGGTCCTAGCAAATGAGATCCTGAGCTCTTTACATTTTGCCTCGTTCATTTGGAACTTGTTAGCATGAGCCTTATCTGAGAACTCAGTCACTGCATTTTGGATCGTGCTCGCATTGCCTTTCTCCACACACTCGGACATAGTGGTGTCGTCCACAAACTTCCACATATCAGTGTTAGCGATCTCAATGTCATCGATCATTAGTAGAAAGAGCCACGGCCCCAACTTGGTCCCCTGTGGAACACCTGCTGGAATATCCCTCCATTCTGATTTGCAGTCATCCGCCAATTTGACTCGCTGTTTACGGTGTTTAAGGACGTCTATGATCCAACATTCGACCTTATGAGGGATATTTAAGGTCGCGAGTTTCGTGGCAAGAATATTATGATCGATGAGATCAAAAGCCTTGCGAAAATCGAAGAGGACAACTCTTGTAGTGGCGCCATTTCCGTCAGTATCTTTTGTCCATTTATGGAACATGGTGATAAGAGCAAATGTTGTGGAGGACTTGGGGATGGCGCCGAATTGGTTTTTTTGATCTTGGCCAAAATCGCTGGTTTCACATGTTCCTCGACGACAAATTCTTCTGCAATTTTTGACATAATTGGTGTCAGTGAAATTGGACGCAGGTCTTTGTTTATGTCCTTTGGTGGGTTTTTCTTTGGGATTGGCACTATGTCAGCTGTTTTCCAGGAAGGAGGGAGGCAGCCTTCGCAATAGGAGCTGTTAAGGATGTCTGAAACAGGGTTAGCCAATAGATCAGCGTTCTCTTTGAGTAACCAGGCCGGGATATTATCAGGGCCTTGTGCTTTGCTGGAGTTCAAACTCGATAATTTCTTATAAACTGAGTAGTTAACCATCCAATGTGATGCCAGCGATAAGGGATTGGGAGCTGCCCTTCTACAGCAAGGACAGCCTGTTGCCTTCGCAAGCCGTGCCCTGACAGATGCCGAAACAAGATACGCTCAGATTGAGAAAGAGATGTTATCGGTGGTGTTTGCACTTCACAAATTTGACCAATACGCGTGTGGACAACTGGTAACAATCGAGAATGACCCAAAGGCACTGGAAGCCATAGCTCGGAAAACGCTTCACGATGCACCCAAACGGATTCAAGGTATGTTGCTGAACATACAGAAATATGACACCGTGATTTCCTACAAACCTGGACCTCAGATGGATCTGGCAGATACTTTGAGCAGAGCCTTTTTGACCAGCAGCGCCAACACACAAGGAGAATTTGAAAGAATCAACGCACTCAAAGCCATTTCACTTTCCAAAGAGAGACAAGAACAGATCAAAAGAGATACAGAGCGCGATGATGTTCTCCAACGATTAAAAGAAGTCATACACCGGGGGTGGCCTGAACAGAAACAAGACCTACCAACCATGCTTCATCCATATTATAGCTATAGAGATGAGCTTAGTGTGTACGATAGTCTGGTCTTCAGGGGAGAGCGATTGGTCATTCCGAAAGGAACGCGACAGCAAATGAAGCTTGATGTACATAGGTCCCATATTGGAGTGAATGGCTGCCTAAGGAGAGCACGGGAATGTATGTTTTGGCCTGGGATGAGCGCAAAGATGAAGGAGTTTATAGGTCAGTGCGAGATATGTCGAAGGTATGAGACCAGACAACAGAAAGAAACGCTGATGAGCCACGAGATAACAGAGCGACCATGGGAAAAAGTTGGCGCAGACATCTTTACCATTGGTGACAACAACTACCTCGTGTTGGTAGATTACTACTCAAATTTCTGGGAAATCAACCGTCTCGAAGATACCAAAGCTAGCACATGTATCAGAAAGATAAAAGGTCATTTTGCCAGGAATGGAATTCCGGATATCTTTGTCAGCGATAATGGTAGCCAGTTCGTCTCTGAGAGATTTGGAAACTTTGCCAAATTGTGGGGTTTCGAACATCGTGTAAGCAGCCCCGGACACCAGCAAGCCAATGGAAAGGCAGAATCTGCTGTAAAATCTGCAAAGAAGCTGATACGTAAAGCGGTTGAAACTGGAAATGATCCGTACCTGGCGATTTTGGCTCATAGAAATACACCCACTGAAGAAATGGAGTCCAGCCCAGCCCAGAGGCTACTCGCTAGACGATGCAAAACCCTCCTGCCGACCACTACTGAATTACTCAGGCCGGAGAGTGTTCCAAATACAAAGATTATGAAACAGAGGAAAAGACGAAACGACAAACAAGCGGATTACTACAACGTAGGTGCTAAAAATCTGTTGCCCCTTGAAGAGGGAGATACTGTGCGAATGCGGCCATTTAGACTTGGACAGAAATCATGGGATCGAGCAACGGTTAAAAGAAGATATGATGAACGGTCGTACGAGGTAGAGACTGATAGGGGGAATTTCCGACGAAATAGAGTAGATATTAAGAAGACGACGGAACATAATGAACACCCGACTGAGGGGAGACCACAGATTGGTGGACGGCAGCCCGCTATTGAGATCCAGGCAGAAATACCAGAAGTGACAGGAAACGACCGACATACCGTTCCAGTGACTACGAGTAACAATGATGACCAACGAGTAACAATGACGGCCAACGATGCAGCGACGAGTATCAATGAAGATCAGCACAAAGCGCAAGAGCATCCGATGACACAAGAGTCAAGTAGACCAAGACGAGTGAGAAAGAAACCCAATTACTTGAAAAACTACACCATGAACTGAATAAACAGTGAACGATTATTATGATCCTATTCATTAACTTTAACATTTATGAACTTACTTAATTAGTGCTCTAATTTTAAAAAAATGCGAAAAAAAAGAACAACAGTTTTACATTTATAACAATGACCACCCCTAAAAGCAACCCTTATAAACACTATAAGCACTTCAGAAAGGCTATCGCTTTTCCTTTTCCATTTCAGAAGTTAGAGCTATGTCGACACTGCCCTTTCAGGGCGGTGTCATTTTCAGGACTTTTGTCCCCGATTCAGGTTTTGGCACATATGTCATGTTGTTGACCGTCATGGTGATTTTACCCTAAAACAGTTGAGATTACCTGTCCTAAATGAAACGCATACAAACTCATGTGCAGGTCCTAGACTATATTATTTTACTGTGTCAAACATATTCACGGACAATTTAAAACGTACTTAAAACCGGAGTTTCTGTTTTCAAACAAATAGCAAAAACTATCCCGACTGTTGGGAGAAACCTCGCCGTTATATTCTTTTAAATCCATTTCGTTTTGTATCCTATAGATTTCTCAATTTGTACGATTCTATTTATTTTGATATGACATGTTTTCATTGTGTTGTATGGTGTTTTGACCGCTGTATTGTGTTTCCGAAACTAGTAATGTGAAAAGTGTTATTAATTAAGAAATAGAAAACGAGTCGCTTGCGTTTATTGCGTGATAATGCACGCAGGGAATGTTGGGAGAATACGAGAGAAACGTGTAAAACACGAGGCGTAACACGCTTCTCGAGTATTCTTCCAACATTCCCTGCTTGCATTATCACACGATAAACGCACAAGACGAGTTTTTCTATTTCTTTTATAACATATAAGTAGAAGAAATAACATATAGTAAACAATTTTATGGAAAAGATTGACTTTAAAATTCTCCTAACATGCACTCAGTGACGTCACGCGCATGCTTTTACTGTCACTTGAATTTTTAAGCGGGCGAAGGAGCAACAACAATACAAAATTTTTATAAAATTGTGATGCTAAAGTTGCGGAGAAACTGTTTAAAATGCTAGGGGGAAAAAACTCCAGTGATATACAGACTAAATTGCTAATGTTTTTCAGCATCTGTGCTGCTGGATTTGCTATGAAAGACGTTAAATCGTAGGTTTCGTCGTGTTGCTCAGATTTAATTTTTGATATTATTGACTATTGTATTTTTTTGCCTTTCGCCGAAAACATATCTTAGTTGTTTTTATCAGAAGCATTGAAGGTACTTTCTAAATCACTTATGTTCAGTTTTTGTTGCCTTTTGCTATGTTTTTGGTATTCCTATATCTTTTTCATGGGTTTCATGGTGGAACATATACCGCAAAATAACTAAAAATTTTACCGCTACATAACTAAATAACTAAACTAATATTCCGCTAAATAATTAAACTTTGTATATGTACAATCTAAAATGTTTGAGAGACACCACTCTCGGCGTTCTCAATGTTGAAATCAATGTTCTTAATATCATACACGATTTTCCTTGCACTTGAATCCCTCAAGCAGGTAATTGCCGATCTCAGTAAAGCGAGTGAGGTTCTGGCTCCTATCCAACTCATAGTTGTCGCATAATCATCGCCTTTCTTTATCGCTACCAACTCTGTCAATCGACTATGGTATCTCACACATTCTTTGCCCATATCGCCTGTGGTGGTGAATACGAGTGGCGTAAATGTTCCTTGCTCTATTTCGAGGATTCTCCTTGCATAGAGGCGTTTCTTCTCGTTTTCGTGTATCGTGTAGACTTGGCGTAGGTCCTTATACGAATCAGCATTGGGGTGACAAACCCTTACATCAAAAAAGGTTGATCGTTGACTTTATCAGAACCCACGCGCATGAATGTTGAGTCTAGCGTCAGGTGCTCTGTTGGAACCTTCATTTAGTTGCTTTCCGGAAATGTCTTGTAGGACAGGCTCAACTTTGACGTCACTACAGACAATGTTGAGGAGTTCCGCTTCGAGATCTCTTAACTCATGCGGTATAGGACGCTTGTGGTTGAGATAGAGCAAATTCGGCTAATTTTGTCACTTCGTTGACCCAATTAGAGACCTTCTCAATTAGAGACCTTCCTTGAGAGCGAATTTCATGGTAAACTTTTGAGCAATTTGAGGGATTTATTTCTTAAATTTGTTGAGCAAAACAGCAGCAAAAATGCTATAAACAAAAGCTCAGCCTTCCAAATATATTTCAAGAAGTAGTTATTTTTAGAAGTAGATCTTCAACTTGAACATTTGTTAAGTAATTGCACATGCAGTTTGGACTTAAAGCATTAGGCTGGTACAAAACTTCAGTCATTTTCGAATCTCCAATTTGAAAAGTATTTCGAAATTCGTGATTACAACGTTGAATACTGGCAACGTCGAAAACATGGAATGAAACATACAAGATTATATACAAAACGTACCTGTACGAATTATATTCCAACTATACATTCTCGAAGAAATTACTGTTTTAGATTCCCTGCAACTCAAACCAAAGTGATTAATCGAAGCAACCTATTAAATATTCAAATCGTAAATAGCTCAACAAAGCATGACTTTCCTACAATATTTCTAAGTAATACCCGATCTATGGTAAATAAAATTGATGAGATATGTGGTGCAGTCTTAACGAATAAATGTGACATCGCAGTTATCACTGAAAGCTGGCTTTTATCACATATAACTGACAATTTAATCAGCATACCAGGTTTTTCAACAGTGCGCAAGGACAGAGCTTCGGAGCAACGCGGGGGAGGGCTATGTACTTACATCAACAAAGAACTAAATTTTATAGAATTAGACTATTTTTCTGATGTGCAAGTCGAAACACAATGGTTCTTACTCAAGCCATATAGACTACCAAGGAATATTAACTCGATTATCATGGTCACAGTATACCACCCACCGCAAAATAATAACAACATTCTGCGAAACCATCTATTCCAATCCCTCGATATTGCCCTAACAAAATATCCAAATTCTGGTATTATTATCCTGGGCGACTTCAATCAATTTAAGCCGGGCAGTTTGTGCTCTTCATATAAATTGAAAAAACTTGTTTTAAGACCAACACGAGGAGCAAATATCTTAGATCAAATTTATTCCAACCTACATCGTAACTATTGTGAATCATTAATTCTCCCTCCTATCGGCAGTTCAGACCACTCATCTATAATATTAAAGCCAAAAGCATATTGTCCTACTACCCAACCCACTACCCGTATTCTTAGAAGAGATTGCAGATTGGCCAATAAACAAGCGCTGACGATGGAATTATCGCGAACCGACTGGTCTTGTGTTCAACATTATACGACGTGCAACGAGAAGTTAACTTGTTTTAATGCAATTCTATCTAAGGCGATAGACTCTCACCTTCCTATGCGCAGCATTAAGCTCCACCCATCTGATAAACCATGGATAAATACTAACATTAAAAAGCTTATCGCCAAACGACAACGAGCATGGTTAACTGGCCATCCCTCGGCATACTCCTTCTACCGCAACAAAACTACTAAATTATGCAGGCAAGCTAGACGCACATATTTTAACTCAAAGATATTAAATACTAAGGATAGCAACCCTAAGAAGTGGTGGAAAAACATCAAAGCTTTGTCTGGATTTGCAAAGCCACCCTTACCCTCCTGCCTGTACCATGATGGTGAATTCAAGCGAGGCGCAGATTTAGCAGATTTAATTGCTGAATCTTTCAGCAAAGTATCAGATGATATTCCAGCACTGAGTTTTACAAAGTTACCAATTACTACAATTCCTAATGAGTTCATTCTCTCACCACAACAAGTCGAGTACGAATTGTCCAACATAAAAGTACATAAATCTGTTGGTCCGGATGCAATACAAAACTGGCTCCTTAAGTTTTACGCATCTTTTCTTAGCAGTCCTATTTGTTCTATATTCAATTCTTCCATTGCTCAAGGTGCTTTCCCTAACACCTGGAAATGTGCGGACGTCATACCAATCTCTAAAGTACCTAATCCCAAATCTGCAGATGATGACTTACGACCAATTTCTCTTACATCTGTCCTTAGTAAAATACTGGAACGTTTTATTTATCGTTGGCTCCTTTCCTCTATTCATCCGCACATCGATCCATATCAATATGGAAACATAAAGAACTGTTCGACAACTCACCAGCTCATTCATCTCATTCACCATTGGTTGGTTGAAACTGACAAACCTGGAACCCTAATTAGATCATGTATGATTGATTTCTCAAAAGCGTTCGATCGTATTGATCATAACATTCTCCTAATGAAACTAACAAATTTAGATGTGCCCCCCCATATTGATAAATTGGTGTGCCAATTTTTTACAAGATCGTCAACTTCGTGTAAAACTTGGAGAAATAAGATCTAATTGGAAACAGATTAAGGCCGGCGTACCTCAAGGAACTATCCTTGGTCCCCTGTTTTTCCTAGTGATGATCAACGACCACACCACTACCACCACCACACACCCATTGTATAAGTACGTGGATGATTGCAGTACATATGAAGTGGTTTCCCGGCCAGCTTGTAATTCTATCCTTCAACTAGATATTAGTACAATCTGTGATTGGAGCAATACTAACAATATGCGGTTGAATGCCAAGAAAACCAAAGAATTTCGTGTATCCTTTTTACAATCTGAACCTGAATTTGATCATCTGACAATAAACGGTAGTCCGCTTGAAGTTGTTGATAGTTTCAAACTCCTGGGTATCACTCTAAGCAGCGATCTGTCCTGGAACAAACATATCTGCTAAAGCAAGCAAGCGACTATATGCCCTACGAATCCTGAAACGCCATGGTGTTCCAGTAAAGAATCTAATCTCCATCTTCTGTTCATTCATTCGTCCAGTGCTTGAGTATGCATGTCAAGTTTGGCACTCTTCTCTGCCATTGATGTTATCAGATCAAATCGAACACATCCAAAAACGAGCTTTAAAGATTGTGTTCCCACACCATTCATACGCTGAAGCCCTTGATAAAGCAAAACTAAAAACACTTCAAGAACGAAGAGAAATTCAGTGTCTGTCCTTGTATCAATCTATTTTAAAAGATGACAACTGAGCTCTGCCAACTGAGCTACGCGGTCAGGTCGGTTCGAGTATGTGATATTTCGGAACTGAGTCTAGTTCCTTCGATATCAGTGTAATCCATAGATATCTCATATACACTAGATAGCGCATCCCACCCTGTAGGCAGGCGAAAATTGAAGCCTGATCGCAGTCGCAGTTTACGTGCGGCGGCCATATTGGTCGTTCCCACGGAGCGTGATAATTTGTATATTTTGTATTGCGGAAATGGACAAAGTTGACAATAAATCCTCTTTCATGCAGTCAATTTTGGTTTTTCAAGTGTGCAATTTGTTGTAAATGATGCCAGATCGTTGGAGCTTCATATTGTGAATAACGGGTAGGCAGAATTTAATTTTTTTTTCGAAAATATCAATATTTGTCGACCCGTATGAAGGGCGCCCATAGGACAAACCCTATGGACAAACCATCATTGTTGATGTATATATAAATATAGTTCCACCAATTCCAAATAAAACATCTTGAGCCATCGCCATTGCTTCATGGCAAAATTGTGAATGTATTTGCATATTCTTTTGTAAAAGACAGCGACACTGAAAAACATATTTTAGTCACAGTTTATCAATGGCAAAAATAGACTTAAAATCTTAAATAGTCAATATATAAAACATTGACACCAAAAATGGTTCTTACTCCTTACTATTTGTATATTTATTACATACATACAACATATCATATATTATTTTATAGTTCCATGGAATCACATCAAGATTAAAATGTGTTAGAAGCTAGAGAAGAATAATTGCAACTTAATATATTCGCAGGCAATATAACATAATTGATATTGCTTTATGTAAATGTAGTTGATAATCAAACTTTCTAAAACCTTCAATTGTATGAATGCTTCAAACTATCTTTAATATCTGATGTTAAAAAAAAATTTCTTTCTGTTGAGTCCTAGACCTTTTGTTTTTAATTCAAGCAATCAAACTGCCAAATTACTGTAATTATTAACAGCATAGGTCATTGATAATCAGCTGAATTTTAAAACTGCTTTGGGAAACCCTATTTTGTAATGAGACACATTACTTCTTGCATTATTGTATATTGTAAGGTCAATGGGATAAACTGCTTGATGCACAGTAGATTTTATAATCTTAAATATAGTTGCACTCACTATTGTATAAATAATTCTATTGTTATAATAAAGTATTACTTTTGACTTTGTGTAATAGTGTTTTCTAATTCTTTGACTCATCAAATGCACAATAATTAAACTTTTCTAAAAAAATAAAATAAATTTGCCAGTACTCTCAGGAATTGAAAACATGATAAACTCTCAATTTTTGCCTTTTGAGTTTAGTGGTTACTGTAAATATCATTAAAAAATGTCCAATTTTAAAAAAAATTTGGAGACCTGAAGGAGTTTTGGTGCCAATTGAAATTAAAAAATTGAATTAGACTCAGAAAATTTCATAGCAATGGGTAAAGTCATTCCTGATGCAAAAAGTATAAGAAGTAATAGTGAAGGGTCAAGTGACAGAATCAAATATCAAAAGAAAATTTCCCAGGACATTTCATCAGTAAGCAATTTATTTTTAGTTTTTTACAGTATACTATTATATTGATTGAAATTAGACTTGCATTAACATGATAAACATCTCTAAGGATGCATGAAGTACTATGAAAACAGTTGATACAAAATGTTCATCAAGAAAAGTGGTCACCCAAAAAGCAGATGTTTATATGTTCTGACCACTTTTGTTCTGGTTGCATTGTCCATACTGTTCTGTTCTCAGAAAGCAGACACTTATATGCTCTGACCACTTCTGTTCTGGCTTCATTGTTCATTGTCCATACGTTCTGGCTTCATTGTCCATACACAGTCTTTTTACTGAGCTAGATCACCATATTTTTGACTCACCAGTTGGTGAAAATCATGTTATATTTCAGTTGACCAAGAGCATCATCAAGAGTTACTGTGAGGTTAAATTTTACCATCTTGGAAAAAAGACCACTGAGAATTCATCTGGACAAAAAATTAGAAAGAAATTAAATAAACTTGTACCTTTTAAGCACCAGTGTGAGTGATTACACAGAATGTATCAGAGAAAGCTAAATATTACTAAAATTTACTATGAAACTGCCCAAGCTGAAAGTGCAGACTCTGCCTCAAACATAATTTTACTAAAGATTTATAGTGATAACTGCCCAAGCTGAAAGTGCAAACTCTGTCTCAAACGTTTCACTAAAGATTTATAGTGAAAACTACCCAAGCTGAAAGTGCAAACTCAGACTGTCTCAAACATTTCACTAAAGATTTACAGTGAAAACTGCCCAAACTGAAAGTGCAGACTCTGTTTTTTTTTACAGTACAAACTGCCTACGCCGATAGTCGAAACGTTACTTACCAACTTCCATTTCCATAAAGTGGTGCCAGAAACCGTAAGTACATGTATTGATTAGACGATACTTCACCAGAGAATCACTCACAGATTCAAAACAAGTATATAAAGCCAATGTCGTAATTCGAAATTTTTAGCTTTAAAATGCGATTCAAAGACAACAACATCGCCAATTAATGTTTTTTTCTTGTACCCTTTTCCAAAAAAGCTGCGATTTCAAGGCGAACGTACCTCAAAAAGGTATTTTTAATCCAGAAATGCAAAAAAGCCTCGAAAAGTATAGTATTTTCTATAGCATTTCATTGATGAGTGGGAACGACCAATATGGCCGCCGCCTATTTTCATGGGGGAAACCGCTGAGATTTTTGGCTTCAGTTTTGTATTCCGAGATGCGCTATCTAGTGTATATGAGATATCTATGGTGTAATCTAATAATACTCGAACCGACCTGACCGCGTAGCTCAGTTGGCAGAGCATTAGGCTAGTATTCCAAAGGTCGTAGGTTCGAATTCCACCGTGGCCAGGCATATTTTTCAAGCCTACCCGGTGTGGATACATACTCAGAGTAACATCACACCAGCATCTTATTCACCTGAGTACATTACACCAACACAGCGTGCAATATCATGATTATTACATTACACTGATATCGAAGGAACTAGACTCATTTCCGAAATATCACATACTCGAACCGACCTGACCGCGTAGCTCAGTTGGCAGAGCATTGGGCTAGTATTCCAAAGGTCGTAGGTTCGAATCCCACCGTGGCCAGGCATATTTTTCAAGCCTGCCCGGTGTGGATACACACTCAGAGTAACATCACACAAGCATCTTATTCACCTGAGTACATTACACCAACACAGCAGTATAGCTATCTGTTATCACAGGAACACCAAGACTCTTCCGTGCGTGCGGTACAACCTGAATATCTAGGACGATATATGCACCAGACACTGGTATTGTACTTTATAGTAAATTATTTTATATTTCGTGTATTACAGTAATTTACAGCAGGTGCATTATAAATCTTATAAAGACTTTTCATTGGCATTGGCATTGCCCATTGAGGGCTTTATTTGAAGAATAATCCAGCTTAAAAATCCAGCTTCTTTAGACTTGTATAATGCCGCTGTGAGTTATCAATATTTAAATCAACTTTAATATTTATCGTATACTGTAATCGACATTTTAGAAGTTTCACCAAACGATACTGGAGGCAAACAACCTATCTGTCAATGGAAACTTTAAAAGGCTTATTACAGTAAAACTCATTAAGTAATAATTCTATGAGCGAGATTTCGTGCGCATATACAGTTTATGAATTATATATATATATATATATATATATATATATATATATATATATATATATATATATATATATATATATATATATATATATATATATATATACATATATATATATATATATATAGTGAAATGTTGCTGATAACAAGATACAAGTGTTGTATATAGAAAAGGTTTCAATGTGCAACCAAAAGAGACATTTATAACGTAAAATAAAATAAAAGCCACTCAAATTTTGCACAAACGTTTTCGCTTTAATGTTAGCTCCTCAGGTGCATATTTACAATGGGTGGAATTTAGTTTATCTATTATCTATGTTCTATGATATCATATTATAATAACTATGTTAGGAATGCATATATTGACATGATGTGAAGTCACCCGTTAAAAACATTCTATTGATCTAAATTGTAAGCATAAACTTAATGGTTTTTTAATTAGCGTTCAGATCCGGATTCAGTATGTTGATAAGTTCTTTTTCTTTCATCTTACTTTATCGTCCTAATATTTTTTTTCATTCTTTATCCATAATATTCGCATCATATAAGATTATTTTTAAGCTTATACCGGTTTAAACTTTGACTGAACAGCTTGCACAAGACGAGTCGTCGAACCGCCACATATTGACACTTACTGCTCAGGTCAGTCGACAAGTCAGCATACTAAAAACGCTCTATCTCAGCCGAAAATTAATATATCCTTTAAATATTAGCCTGCGAACAGGCCCTGGGTTGCGGGCGGCGCGAAGAATAGAGGGCCTGCACGGATGATAGGTTTTCTTGGTAGTGGCGTTCGTATAGAAACGCAGGCTTCTGATTGGCTTACACTCGTTGACAAAATTACTAAAAATAGCAAATGTCAACAACAGCATTTTGAAGAATTTGAACTTTATTCATTTTAATATTATATATTATAGGACTATCGAACAAATAAAACTAGAAATGGAAACCAAAAGCAATAGCAAAGCATCACAGCAAAAAAGTCTATCATAAATGACTTGAATCTATCGCTTAAATCCAATATACGAAACTATAACAGTATTCTG